AGGCCAATCTGCAAAAACTACATCCTGTATGATTCCAACTATATGACATTCTGGAAAAGGTAAAACTATGGAGACAATAAAAAGATCAGTGGTTGCCAGGATTTAGGGGGTGGGGGAGCGAGATGAATAGGTGGAGCACAGAGGATGTTCAGGGCAGGGAAAATTCTCTGTATGATTCCTTAAAGATGGACACGTCATTATACATTTGTCCAAGTCCATAGAACATACAACACCTAGAGTGAACCCTCATATAAACTGTGGACTCTGGGTGGTGATCTATCAATGTAGGTTCATCAGTTGTAACAAATGTATCATTCTGGTGGGAATGCTGATATGGGGGAGGCTACGCAGGTGTGGGACAGGGGGTATACAGGAAATCTCTGCACCTTTCTGTTAATTTTGCTGTGAATCTAAAACTACTCTAAAACACAAAATCTTCAACAAAAAAAAAATTCTCCTTTGATGACTTAAGAATGCTCCCAATGTCCTGCCTTCTACCTGGCACCAACTGCACATGCCCACAAAGGTGTCCACGTGTGCAGACATGTGCCTGTGCAAGCGTATTGTGGGAGTGTGTGTACACACTGTGAGCTGTGGCATCCAGCACAAGGCATAAGCATGCAGCCTGTAACATACCTTTCTGCGTTGATCAAGACATCGTATTAGCGCTGCATGGATATCCAAGTGTTAGACCCAGAGTAAAACAATGACATTTTCCACTACGATCAAGAAGGATGGCCTTCCAGCTCATTCACGTGCAGGCCTGCCTCAGGTGGGGCCTCCGCCATCTCCAGGAATTAAATTCTAATGTAGAAGCATGTGATGCTGACTATCAGAGAATTCAGGTAGACAAGACGTTTGATACAGAAATTCCCTTGGGGTGTTCTCATTGGACAAGACAACACCTGCAAAGCCTCCATCAACAGCATGTTAAATGGATAAATAAATAAATATCACTGCAGTCTTTATGATTAATAATTGATGATCTACTGCCCGGCACTTCTCCGCTTCAGCACCACAGAGATCTATAAACAACGAGCCGGCAGTGATGGTGGGAGCGGGGTCTGAACTCGAGAGAGGCAAACGACAACTGATCCTTGCTGCCATCCTATCAGGCAAAGCACGATCCTTTTATGGGCCTTTCCTACTGTGAATAATTTTCCCCTTAAAGGTAACATTTTATTTATAGGCTTTTTCTAGAACCAATATTGATTTTTTTCCTCCAAGCATTTTATCTCAGACTCATAACTTTGGGAGAGTTATGGCCACATATGAGAATGTGATAAAAGCAAAGAGCCTGCTTTCTGCACTGGATTGCAGGGGTTCAGGGACCCCAGATTATGTCCCCTGGTACTAGCAACAGGGGCCCTATTTGCAGACGGCAGAAATCTCCAGACGTGCCTGACGGTGTGTGTAACGGGCCCAGCCCTCAACAGGATGTTCTTAGGGCTGAACGTGAGGCCTTGAACTTGAGCCCCAAAGGCTGGTGCCCACAAAAACCCCACGGCAGGGAGGGGGCGCACTCGGGGTTTGCAAATACAGCAAGTGCAGACGTCCAAAGGTGGCATGGCACCAGCCTGGGCGCGTTTATGACAGCAGAGCTTCTAGAATGACTTCTATCCTCCCTGCTCTTGTCAGGCCACCGTCAAACTGTGTTCACTTAAGGACACTAGGTTTTAAGAGATAAATAACAAGAGACTTGGGTTTGACAAAACCCTGGGAGAACCTTCGGAAGAGGAGAAAGTGCTAATCTTCCACAGGCCTGCCAGGCTGAGGACAGGGGCGCTCTGGGCGGGCCGGCCAGCACCCATGAACTCCTTTAATCCCCCGACAGCCTGTTCCTTCACTCAACTGGCACTTATTGCGTACTTAGCACCCCAGGGCTGCAGACACAGCAGGAACTATCGGACGAAGGCCTTGACCTCATGGTATCTACATGTGGGTGGGGACACGCGTAAGCCAAGTCAGGTGGGGGTTGTGGGGTGGGGAGAACGAGGCCAAGTGAAAAGCCAGCAGAGCCGCGGTGGGGAGGGGTCACCCGTTTATGCAGGGCCGGCTTCCTGGACAAAGCGGTGTTTTAAACACAGCAGAGCTACTCACACCTCCTGGGCACAGTGAGAGTCCTGTGGTCGCTGGATCATGGTTGGTGCATGTGAGAAGCAGTGAGGGCCTGCGTGCAGCTGGGTCCCAGGGAGCATGGGGAGGAGATGAGCCCAGGAGTGACGGGGACAGGCCACACGGGTCCTGGTGAGGATGTGGTGTTTAACCCCCAGAGAAGCCACTGGAGGGATGTGAGCAGGGGTGATGTTATCCAACATCTGGCAGTGTGAACAACAGACTAGAAAAGGGGTGACGGCAGTGACGAGGAGACCCATCAGGAGGCTGGGTCCTGGCAGGAAGGAAAGGCAATACAGCAGAGAGGAGGAGAAATGGCCGGACCCCGGGTCAGCTCCAGAGGAGCCAAGAGGACTTATGGCCATCTGGACAGATGTCAGGTGCCAAGTCAAGAGAGCGGCCAGGTGGCTCCACCCACAGGAAGGCCAAAGACACCATTTACAGGGACGGGGAACAGTCCCGGTTTGGAAGCAAAGATCATAATGTCAGCGACACCTACAAGACCCCAGGTGCAGGTGCTGAGTCAACAGAGAGGCAGCCTGGAGCTCAGGGGACTCGGGCTGGAGGAATGAACCCAATGAATGGGAGCTGCAGACAGTATTTAAAGCCATTCACGCAGCAGCGACTTACTGACTTTTACCTAGAACCAGGCACTCTGTGGACAAGGGGTATCATGGTGCACAAATGGATGCTAGCACTGTCCCTCGTGAAGACAACAGTCAAACATATAAGTTAGATAATCAATAATAATTGATTAATTGATGGGTTAGTGGGGAAACAGGCAACAGTCAGATAATGACAAAAATCAGTGTAAAATTGTAACCTTGTCGGAGCTATGAAGGAAAGGTCACGGTGTTGTCATAGGAGCCGAGGATGAGGGGGTTTGATCTGATCAATGAGGAAACGGGGGCCGAGACAGGAGGGGGATCTGCCAGGGCTGCAGGGGCCGGGCACCAGTGCCTTCTTACGACAGGTCCCGTCTCAGGCAGGTGGGCCGGTGCCGCTGCAGAGGGCACCAGGGACGGGTGGGGGTGGGGGGTAGGGATGAAAGACCCTGAGGGCTGACTTGAGCTCAACAAGGAGAGGAACACGTTACACCATGAAGGGCAGCTGTAGTGGGTGGAATCGTGACCCCCAAAGACACGTGTACCTGGAAACCTGTGAATGTGACCTTATTTGGGAAAAGATGTAATTTGTTTTTTCAGATGTAATTAAGGGTCTCAAAATGAGGAGATCATCCAGGATTATCCAGATGGGCCCTAAATCCAATGACCAGTATCCTTATAAGGGAAGGAGGGGACACAGGGAGGAGAAGAGAAGGTGAGGTGAAGATGAGGCAGAGATCAGAGGGATGTGGCCTCAAGCCCAGGAACGCCTGGAGCCACCAGAAGTGAAGGAGGCAAGGACCCTCCCCTAGAGCTGGAGGGAGATGGTTTAGTGGGTGGAGGTCAGGGATGCTGCTCCACACTCTACAGTGCAGAGAGAAGCCCCACCAAAGAGAATCAGCCAGCCCCCAGCGTCCCCGGTGCTGAGGTTGAGGGACCCTGCTCCAGCCTGTGACCCCTGCTGACACCAGCCGTTCTCAGACACGTCCCATGTAACCCCATCCTGCGGGAGGCTGATGGGTGTGTCACGGAGCGAGTTCCCAGGCCAGATAAATTTGGGAAACCCTGCAAGCTTTAGCCTCCTCTGAGCTGTCCAGGGCCCTTTGGCCAAGGACTGGCTCCAGGTTTCTGCCACGAAGACAGTGGCTCAACTATCAGAGTCAGCCTCTTCCACACACATGGGTGCCTGTGCCCCTCACACACTGCAGCATGCACACCCAGAAATGCGCCACTAGACCAGGGTGGAAGAGCCTCAGAGGTAGGCAAGGTGACGGGAAGGGGTGACAGCCAAGGCCGCTGTCTAACCCTGGCTCCTGGTGTGTCCACCTGGTCACGGTGCCCACTACCCATACCCGCTTAGTACCAGCCAGGAGCAGAATCAACACCAGCCCCCGCCCCTTTCCCACCCAACACCCAAGGAAGAACGACTTGCTGGGCCAGGTCCCCGGTGCCTCTACCCAGAGCTCTGCCTATGGCCATACAGCCACCATGAGATGCTCCAGGAAGCACAATAACCCTTCACTCAATAACAATAACCGTCCCTCCAAGGCCTACAGCCACGTCCACCCTCGGCCGTCCCATGAACCACAGGGGCTCAGCGCAGCCTGCGCCAGGGGCACGGTAAACCCTCTCAGTGTTGTCCACCCCTGGCCTGCGCCTCCTGGTACCTTTGTTATGGGGGTGCCTCCGATGCTCTGTCTCCCCGAGCCCGAGTCCTCAAGGGTAGGACAGAGCAATTTCTCTGACCTCGAGAACACGTTGTGAGGCAGATACGGAGGTGGTGGTCCCAAACAAGGAGGCGCTGTCACGGGTACCCCACTCCTGAGACGGCCATTGGAATCAACCCCCCTCCCTCCTTCTCTCCCCCTCCCACCTCATCTCACTTTCCCATCAGCGTTTCTCACTGTATTTTCCTAATACCGGGCATGTGAGTACCATCTATACTGCTTTCTGCCATGTCATGCCAAGCAGAGATATTCTCAAAGTCACCTGCTGAGTCTCTTTTATGTTTTTTCAAATACACATGAAAATTAATATGCAACTATCAAAATAAAACAAGTTCCCTCGGTGCCTCCTGAACGGTGCCTGAGCCGTCTGCACGCACCCCTGCTCGTCTTCAGAGGTGAGTCTCCCTCCATTACTGGGGGGGCAGGCCCGCGACGCTGTCCCCGCTCCCTGCTCGGGGCAGACGCGCCAAGTCGAGCACGGGCTCTGTGCCCCGCCCGGAGACACCACCTCTGGCGGGAGATTCCCACACGCCGGGACCCGCCCTCTCCTCACCAGAGATGATGGAGTCGTTTAGTGCCTCCTCGTCCTGATACAGAAGCAGGTCGTCCTTGAGTTCGGAGTTCATGATCAAGTTCTCCTTGTTCTCCTCGGACTCTTGAGCCGCAGTCCGCTTGTTCTCCGAGGCCCCGTCGAAGCTCCAAGCCTCCTCCCGCTCCTTGCCCCGCTCCACGCTGGACGTTCTCGACAGTCGGACGTCTACCCGCTTCTTCGGGGACCCTTTACTGTCCCTTCCTGGAAAACTGAATCGGAAAGACAGCTCAGGTTGTACGTTGTCCCCTTCACGTGGAAACCCAGCAAACCGCCTTAGGGGCTTACAATGGGTATTGCAAAGACGGCCCCCAAATACATGCGACTTCTCAGCTTCCGTCCCAAACACACAGGACAAGAAACACCAGAAGGCACACACGACTTTGAGGCCCAGGCACACGGTCGTTCAGAATGCACCGTTTTAAAGGGCACAGACATGCACATAATAAAACTTGCCAAAACTCAGTGCAACGTAGACCAAGGACTTCCTGAGAACAGAGAAGGGCATTTGTTTGTGTAATATTTCTGCCAAACCATACGTGTGTTCCATTATCTGCTTTGCCCTCCAACGATTCACTCTCCTTCACACTTTATGACCCACAGGAGATCAAGAATAAAAGAGTGGGTTTAGGAACAGGCTTTCTTACACTCTGGCATAATGGAAACTGGAAGCCATCAGAATCCTGGGACAAGGGGACAGCTGCTTCCCTCTCACGACTCTCCTGTGAGGCTCCCACCCCACCCGGGGGAAAGGCAGGGGCTCTGTGGCCGGGTTCCCACAGTGCACACCTCCCGCCTGTCCCCTCCCGGAACATGGCAACCAACGCCAGCTACGTAACTTGCGGAGCCCAGTGCAAAGAGAAAACACGGGGCTCCCTGTTCCACAATTATGAAAAATTTCAAGATGGTGACAGCAGAGCACTGAGCCCAGCCTGGGGCCCATGGTGACTGCACAGGTGCACCCCCGAGGCTAGCCCAGATGGGAATTCAGGTGCACGGGTCTCCCCTGCCAGGGGAAAGGCCGCACCTGTCCTGGCGGTGCTTGGTGGCCAGCGCCCTGTGCAGCTCCTCGATGACGCGGCTGGGGGGCAGCGGCCGGTGGACAGTGGTGAGATGTGGAGACCCTGTGGGCGTGGAAAGCTGTCCTCGGAGGAGAGGGTCAGTACTCTTCCCACCAGAGCCTTGGAAGAGTGTGGGCTGGCCTGCAGGTGCGAGAGGAACCGACAAGAACGTAAGTCTCTGGGAGCAGGGAGGAAAGGCCTTGCTGACAGACAAGAGCCAGTGAGCAGACAGGACCCAGGCCTCTGGCCAGGCGAACCCACTAACGCCCCATCCGAGATGCTGCACCAGGCCCCCTGCCCCCAAAGCCAGAGACAGGGTGTGCCTCTGTCCAGTGCTGCTCCATCCATGGACCCCTCTGCCAGGGGGCGAGCTCCACAGACATCAGTGCCAACAGGCCCCCTGCAAGGTCTCAGGCACAGAAAACCCTCCTTCCTGTTTCTCTGCTACGAACTCAGCTTCCTGAAGCCACACTTCCTTTTGTGGAACCTGGAAGAACTTCCCAAGCTCTGCAGCCATCGCTCAGCCTGGAAGACCAACACAGCCCCTTCTCTGCTTCCCCACATCATCCACTCACCTCTGCCTCCAGCCCTCTCCCTATAACTCACCCAGTGGGAGCTTTCTGGAAGGTGAATCTGATCACAGCTCTCCAAATTTCTTTAAGATGTGATCGGGGCTCATGGCCCAGTCCCAGGGCCCCACAGGCTGCCCCTGCTCAGCCCTCCGGCTTTACACCCTCCACTGGCTCCATGTTCTTTTCCTTCCAGCACATGAGGCTCTTTCCAGTCCTTGAAGGGAACATGTTCTCTCTCTACTCTGAGCCTTTACACAGGCTATTCCCTCTGCCTGAAATGCTTTTCCCCTCCTCTGCCCCAACGTCACTTCCTCAGGGGAACTTCCATGAATCTCCACCCTCATTTAGAGCTCCCTGTACCTGCCGTATGGACCCAGCCCCGACACCCTTCTCCTCCCACTAGGAATGAGCTGCTTCCTCGGGTCTGTCCTTCTCACCCAACTTGGAGTCTCCAGGCAGGGCCTGTGTCTCCCTTTCTTACCGCTGCATCCCCAGGCCTGGCACGTAATAAATAACATTTATTTACCTGGGATGAGTTTGAAGATGATTCAGAACAGACGCTCAAAGCCAACCTAAGAAGGCGAGCCCCCCTCCCTTCCTTCAACAGGCGCGTCCTGAATGTGAATGCCCCATCCTGCACGGTGTTAGGTGCTTAGGGCAGCAGGAAGCGTGAGTTTTGTCGCTGCACAGATCTGGCCTCCGGTCTCAATCTGCTACTTCCCAGCTGTGAGACCCGAGCACGTCCCCTAAGCTCTGGAAGGCTCAGCCTTCTTGACTGTAAAATGGGCCCACAGCTCCCTGGCAGGGGCTGCAGGAGCCCAAGCAGGAGGCGTGCTGTCTGGCATCCAGGAGGTTTTCAGACACAGATTCTCCTTCCCAAACGTGTCTCAGCAGAAGCAGGCTCCCGCTGGACCAGCACAAACAAATCAACTCCCTTTTTTAAACACCAACAGGAAAAAACAAAAAAGAGATCTAAACCACTCCTACTTCCTAAAAACCAGAACCAAAACCTCTCTGATGCAATCCTGGAATGCAGACGGCCTCAACGAAAGGATAACTCAAAGCTAGAAGGGAGCCTGTGAGGCCCGCTGAGGACTCCCACGTAGCTTTCTTCATGAGCACCCGCTGCACACGCCAGGTAAGAGGGAAACAGCCCAGGCCCCCAGGCCCCCAGGCCAGCTGGGTGGAGCCAGGCAGAGGACAGGCAGACAGAAAGGGAACAAAGTGATTTCAGGGAGAGAGAGCCATGCGGGTGGCTGGGGGGACGGGGCCAGGGAGGGCCAGTTGAGGCTTCTCCGCAGAGGGGACATGTGAGCTGAGACCCCAGGGATGAAATGGTGCCAGCCACGCAAGATGTCGCCAGACATGGGCAAGGCAGAGCATGGTCGGGGCTCCACTCCAAGTGTGGCCCCCAAGATACCCCGCCAGCTCATCCCCCACCAGCCTCAGCCCCTCCAGGGGCTGTCCCTGCTCATCACAGTGACCACCTCCCAAGCAGGTGACGCTCTAACCACCACTTCCTCTAATCCTCACCCTAGTCCTACCAGGAAGGCACTACTAGCCTGCCGTACAGATGGGAAAACCGAGGCACAGGCTTGCCTGTGCTCATTCAGCTGGGACTCCCCCCAGGGTCTCCCACTGTCAATCATAGACACACCGAACACGTGTCTCCCACTTACCGCTCTGCTGAGCAATTTACCTGCCCGGAGGACCTCTTATCGCTCCCATTTCTCAGATGAGGAAACTGAGGGTCAGAAGCCAACTCAAGGACATACCTCCAGGGGGTGGTGGGGCAGGATCGGAACCTAGGAGCATGACGCCAAGTGTAGTTGGCAGAGGCCACGAGACCCCCATACAGGGAGCTGACTGTCACCCAGCTGGATCTGGGCAGGGAAGGCTTTGCCTGAGCGGGTAACTCACACGTCTCTAGGGTCCAGGCAGGTGAAACACAGGCGAGCCAAGGTGACGCATGCAAGTCACATGACAGGGATGGGCGGGGACTGCGGCAGACAGAGGACCACCTGCCCTTCTTAGTGGGGCTCCAGCAACTCGGGGGGCTGCCAGACGTTAAGACTTTTAAAGAAAAGCCAGAAATGTGGATTACAGGTAAAAATTTTCCTGTTTCTATATGTATTAATATTTAAAACTTAAACATACTTTATGTTTAAAATGTTAGCAATTTTTTAAAAAATATATTTTTTTAATTTTTAAAAAAATTTTTTTTAAAAAATATTAAAACACCATGCAGACCCAGCCAAGCAAGCCTGTGTGTGACTCTGACGTCTGGCGGAGGGCGGCGGGCTGGGGGCTGCTGCGCAGGCCTTCTCAGACAAGGAAGCATCCAGTGGGGACTCAGCTTGTGCATGCTGTCCCCTTGTGGCCTAGTTAAGCCCAGGTGAGGGGCCTTCCCCCTCCTCTGCTGCCACCTGGTGTTCACACGCTGAAGCAAACATTTCCCCCAAAAGAAAAAGAAAAAGGGAGAGCCAAGAAAATTAAGACAAAGTCACCAAACCGTAGTCTCAGCTGTTAGAGATCCAGGCCGAAGTGCAAAGCCCGTAACTACCCTCCTGGCTATTCCTGCTCTAATCCAGTCCCCAGATTAACTGGTGATGTGTCAGAAAATGTCCCCTGACGTTCCAGAGTTCCTTGCAACTGAGGGGCAGGTGGAACTCAGAGGCCGCTGGGGACCCAGAATTTAGGACGTGGGAACACAGCAGAGGAGTCACCGTGGATGAAACTCGTGCAGTCTGAGGTCTGATGTTTCTCAAGCTCAGTGCAAGCAGAGTCTCTGGGCTACTGAGTGACTGAGGGTCCGTACAAATGACACATGAGCCAGAAGGAAGCGCAGTGAGGGTGCCCAACCAAATGGAGTTCCCATCGTTTCAGGTTTCGATAGATGGAGAAGGGGACTATCACAGAGACAGTAACAAGATGCAAGACAGCATTATTTTGCGTCAAAAGTGTCAAAATTGGCGCCAGCCCAGAGGCGTAGTGGTTACATGTGCGCACTCTGCTTCGGTGACCCAGGGTTTGCAGGTTCAGATCCTGGGCATGGACCTATGCACTGCTCATCAAGCCATGCTGTGGCATCATCCCACATACAAAATAGAGGAAGATGGGCACAGATGTTAGCCAAGATGGGCCAATCTTTCTCAGCAAAAAAAACAAACAAAAGAAAAAACTGTCAAAATTGACTATAGTGGAGCCATTTTAAAATAAAGTTGGAGCTGCCTTTCTAGAGAAACTGCTCTGCTGTTCTGAACCTTTGGACTGGGCCAAAAGGGCAGCTGTTTTACAAGCCATTGTTTGAGATGTCAGCAGGAGAACAGACATCTTGATCACAAAGACTGAGGACTTTCTGAAGATGGAATCAATAGTCAATCAATGTTTAGCCAGGACTAGCTCTCAGCCTCCAACTCCAATTAACATTCTTTGTACTATAACCTCCCTTCTTTGCCTTTAAGAGCCCCCGACTTTTACTCCCTAGCGGGACACTATTTGCATTTCTACCCAAATCTGTGCCCCCGAATAGCAATTCTTGAGATTCCAAATAAACTTTTTGCTTCTCTTGCAGTTTGTTGACAAAACTTTTACTCCAATCTGTGTGGCCACGTCACCCAAGGACTGAATACTTCGACTCATTCCCAGAGACGGAGAAAGATGGAGAAAGCAGACAGGGGTTCAGAACATCCATTTGTTCCTCCAATCACAGTCATTCGCACCTGCCAAGCACTGCTGTGTGCCAGGCACTGGGACGTGATGGTGAACCAGAGACGTGGTGGCTCTTGTGGGGCTAGTATCCGGGGAGGGCGGTGGAGACAGACGAATAATCCTACAGACAAGGAGTATCTGGTTCCTGGGCTGCTGTAACAAGGTGAGTAACAACAGAAGATTACTCTCTTACAGTTCTAGAGGCCAGAAGTCCAAACTCAAGTGTCGGCAGGGCTGGTTCCTTCTGGGGGCGTGAGGGAGAAACCGCCCCAGGCCTCTACCCAGCGTATGGTGGCTGCTGGCAATCCTTGCCGTTCCGTCCCTTGTAGACGTCACTTCCATCTCTGCCTCCATCTTCACATCTTCTCTGTGTGTCCTTTTGTGTCTTTTACAAGGACGCTCTTGCTGGATTTAGAGCCCACCCTAACCCAGGATCATCTCACTTGATCCCTATCTAATTACATCTGCAAAGACCCTTTTCCAATTAAGGCCACGTTCTGAGGTTCTGGGTGGACGTGAATTCCGAGAGGATACCATTCAGCCCACCATGCACAGTGAAGCGATATGGTCAACGCTGGACGGCGAGGTGCATGTTGCTGTGGGGTCGGGGTCAGGGAAGGCTCCCCTGAAGGAGGGCCTGGGATGCACAGGCACTGACCAGGTGAAGTGAGGGGAAGAATGCTCCAGCAGGGAAGCAGTGCAGGGATTACAAGCTTTGGGCCCAGATCTGAGTTCGAGTCTCCATCAGCTGCGGGACCTGGGACAAGTTGCTGGAGCCCCCTGAGCCTTGGTTTCTTCAACTGTAAATTGGGCACATGTGCCCTCCCTCGGGGGCTGGCCCAAGGATTCTGAATGGGCTGTGTGTACTCGGCCTCCCTGGAGTGCTGGCTGGTAAGTGGTGGTATTACGGCTGGTGGTCAAGCGCTTAGAGCAAAACTACTGAACTCTGCTAATCGTTGTCATCTTCACGTCCACCTCTGCCACCGAGGGTAACATGTAAGGATTTACTCTTATAAACAATCACCTATTAGCGAAGGCCCTGCCTTTTCCCTGTGACCAGCAGTGTCTCCTGTTTCCAGCAGAGATGGGACAAGAGAAATCCAAGCTGCAAGAGTAAATGTCCCGACTCCCTGGGATTATTCAGGCAGGGTGGCCAAGGCTACAGAAGTGGACGCCTTCTGGGGCCTCTGCCCAGCCGTGCTCCCCTCTCTGACCACCACCCTACAGTCTGGTGTTTATTCCAGGCTCTGTCTTGCTGGACAGAGCTCACTGGAGAGACAATCAGTGAAACAGAGATGAGCAGAGCAAGTGAGAGAGACTGAGGGGTGGGGGAGGAGAATGAGAGAGAGATTGACTCAGAGAGAAGCGGAAATAGGAGGACAGACACCTGAACATCCAGACAGACAGAAAGTCCTCATCCTGGGGACTGGCTGCATTTCCTGCATTCAGGTTCTAGAGGACACCTTTGACTCCTGCAAATAGACTTCTCCATTTGCTTGAGGAAGCCCTAGTGGTCTGCTCCTGACAACCCTTAGAGATTCTCACTAAGAACAGCCCTCCTGCCTCCAGCTCTGCTCCTCTGGATCTGCCCATAGCCCCGATCGCAGAAGCAAAGGGTGAGAACCAGCCCACAGGGGCAGCCCCATCAGGACTGGTTGAAGGCATGGATGGACGAATGGAAGGAAGGGAGGATGGACGGGTGGATGGAGGATGCATGCGGACCCACCTGTGACACTTTTCGTGGTTTTGGAGCCTGCCTTGGGCGGTGGGGTGGGCAGCAGCGGAGGGCTGGGGAGCTGGCCCATGGATCTCTCCAGAGGTCTGGAAGGACTGTCCAGGGACTCGGACCCAGCTAAGGCTTGAGGGTGCTCATCCATGGTAGGCGGAAGGCTGCTGGCGGTGTCTGCTTCTTCACCTCTGGATGCTGATGGCATCTTGGCTGGTTCAAAGGCAAAACAGAGAGTTCACAAACCACGGTTCCTCCGACTGGGGTGAATGTGAGCAAGGGGCTTTGGCTGGGTGGGACTGTTAACATGGAGCAGAGCACAGAGGGGTCCCTTCACACAGAGACTTGACTTCCTGGGAGTTCAGCTATCAATAGAAACATCAGAAGCGGGGAGAGGAGGAGGGGGAAGGAAGGACGGAAAGAACTTCAAGAGCCCGGATGATTCTGTCCCTTTTTCCGCTCCATCGGTGGCGCCAAAGCTCCCACCTCACCTAGGGGTGCTGGTCACGATCACAGGTTTTAGAAGGAGACACATCTGGCTCTAGTCGGCCCCTGCACTTACTCTGTGATCTTGGATAAGTTACTAAACCTCCTGCACCTCCACTGACCCATGAATGTGAGGGGGAGTGGAATTTGTCACCCCAAAATCCATCTCTTTGGCATAAGGGTTATTTTAGGCTGATTATCTTTAATAAGCAGCAGACATCGGAGAAGCTCTGCAAACCCAGTAGAAGTTGCCCTTTGTAAAAAACATTTATAAGAGAAATCTCCATTTGTAAGGGTGTCTCCCTCAATGTACCAGGAAGAGGGCGATGACCTTATGTCTAAAAACTCTTATCAATGCAGAAAGCAAGGACTTAAACCTGCATAACCACCTCACCCTTGTTTACTGTGCTTCTCGTGGTCACCTCCCATACCTGACTCCCCACCCCCCACATCCTCTTTTGTCTTTAGCTGAAGATGGCGTATAAGGTGGTGGCTTTGGCCATTTTGGCGAGTTACTCAGTTTTCCTGGATCTCTCCCACATACACAGGAGGCATACATGGTATTAAACTTTTGTTTTTCTCCTGTAATCTGTCTTTTATTACAGGGATGTCTCAGCTAAGAACCCAGAAGGGTTAAAAGAAAATTATTCTCCTCCCCAACATACGACATCAGACTAATAACAAGAGTCCCTCACAGGATTGTTATGAGGTTTAAACAAGAAGTGACAATGAGAAGTGTGCCTGGCACACTGTAGACCCTCAGATTCTGCAGCTATTGATTTTGGGGTTTTTTTGCTGAGAAAGATTCGCCCTGAGCTAACATCTGTGCCAAGCTTCCTCCATTTTGTATGTGGGTCACTGCCACAGCATGGTCACCGATAAGTGGTATAGGTCCTTACCCAGGAACCAAACCCAGGCTGCCGAAGCAGAGCACGCTGAACTTAACCACTAGGCCATGGGGCTGGCCCCCAGCAGCTACTGATTTTACATGTTCAGCTTTTAGCAGCCCTGTCCCCAAGGCATGCCAGCCAAGACCAGCGCGGGGAGAGGGGCAGAGTCAGCCCTTAAGGAAGGGTCAGCCTGCCCAGAGCCCCCTTCCTCTCTTCTCCAGCTGCTGGTTCAGGCTCCCCCAGAACCACTCCCCCACCGCCTTGAGCCCTGCCTTCTGAGCCCGTCCACCCCTCTGCTTTCTCCCAATCCATCAACCCTCTTCTTTCTCACTTCTTTCTTTTTTTATTTTTTTTATTTTTTATTTTTTATTTTTTTGTGAGGAAGATCAGCCCTGAGCTAACATCCATGCTAATCCTCCTCTTTTTGCTGAGGAAGACCGGCTCTGAGCTAACATCTATTGCCAATCCTCCTCCTTTTTTTTTCCCCCCCAAAGCCACAGTAGATAGTTGTACATCATAGTGGCACGTCCTTCTAGTTGCTGTATGTGGGACTCGGCCTCAGCATGGCCGGAGAAGCGGTGCCTCAGTGCGCACCCAGGATCCGAACCTGGGCCGCCAGTAGCGGAGCGCGTGCACTTAACTGCTAAGCCACGGGGCCGGCCCTCTCACTTCTTTCTTTATACAGCTCAAGCCCCACCATCCATCACTGCAACGACCATCACATGAGTCCTCTGCCTCACTTCCTTCTCATTTAACTCTCTGGAAAAATCCCATCTCTGGAAAAGCCTCTGTTTGCCCATCCCACCCCTATCAAGTGCCGCAGGAGAAAGTGACACAGAAGCCCCATCACAGCCATCTCAGGACGAACCCCCTCCAGGGCCCTCAGCTCTGCCTCCATTGCAGTCTCCTGCTTCAAACCTATTCTGTCCCTTTCCTACCTCCAGCTTCTCACCTCCCTCCCTCTTCCTCCCATGCAGCCTCACCTCTGGCTTTACAGGGGAAACTGAGGCCATCAGATTGGGGGACTCTAATCACATTCCTGACTTAAACAGGAACCTACTGTCCCTGAACCCCCTTTCTTCCTCTTCCCTGATACAAGAGAGGCAGCCTCCCATCCCACCTCAGGACCCCAGCACTCCTGCCTTCCCAGAGCACACCCCTGGTGCCCAGCCCTGGGCAAGGGCCTTGCGGCAAATCGTCTCATTTCATCTTTACAACCAGCGAAGGAGGAAGACACTAACACTCCCCGGGAACAGCCTGACTGGTCCTAAAGCCCCTGTGTGGGATCCGTCCATCCATCAGGGAACGTCTCTGGAGGGCCTACCATGGGCGGGCGCTGTCCACGGTGCTGAAAACACAGTGCTGACCGAGGCACGCCAGCTCCCTGACCCTAGAGAGCTTCCAGGGACACTTTTGAAGCAAACACTGCACGTCCTATTGTTGTCACCACCTCTATTCTTTTACTGTCCATGTTGGAAGTTGAAAACCTGTCGGACCAGTCCCTTACTCTTGTGAAGCTCATGGAAATGTAGGCTTTGCCTTAGAAGGGCTTGCCCTTCTAACTCCTGATGTTCAAAATCTGAGAAACGAAATGCCCCCTTCCCCACCCACTGCAGAGGGCAGACTCAGTTCTGTATCACGAAGTTAGTCTGAACTGAGAACAACCACTACAGTGTGCTCCTCACCCCTCTGTCCTGTATGGGTACCCACGCTGTTGTTGTTGTTATTATTATTTATAAAACTATCCTCGAAAGCGTTATTTGTTAATAGTTTTTTTTGGTTTTTTTTTGAGGAAGATCAGCCCCGAGCTAACATCCGTGCCAATCCTCCTCTTTTTGCTGAGGAAGACCGGCTCTAAGCTAACGTCTATTGCCAATCCTCCTCCGTTTTTTTCTCCTTTTTCTCCCCAAAGCCCCAGTAGATAGTTGTATGTCATAGGTGCACATCCTTCTACTTGCTGTATGTGGGACGCGGCCTCAGCATGGCCGGACAAGCAGTGCGTGGGTGCACACCCAGGATCCGAACCCGGGCCGCCAGTAGTGGAGTGTGTGCACTCAACCGCTAAGCCACGGGGCCAGCCCCCCGTTAATAGTTTTTAAAAGACTCCTAGACTTCAAGACTATTGTTATGTCCTACGAACTGTAACCTATAACTTCTAAGAGTTCACAATTCTGATTTTTTATTTAATAAGTTTTCCACTAATAATAACACTAAAATAAACATTTTGTGTTTTCCTGGTAAAAACAGTTGTGTGATTTCCTTGTTAAGCCACAGGTAAGCACAGAAATGTCCTTCTTCTCCATGCGTGCACCTGTCCGATGACTTCGTTGGGGTTCCTGTCTCATGTAAATCAGAGCAGGGCAGTGGACACTAACTCTGGGGAGACGATGCCCCAGAGCCAGGCCCTCAGCGGCCAAGCTTGCAGCTGGAAGCACCAGGCCTGGGGCCGGCATGAGCTCACAGTGCTCCGTACAGGCTCAGATTCTGTCCTCTGGGCACCCAGCATGTTCCCAAAGTCACGGTTTCGGGGGGACAAATGGCACAGGGATGGCTCACCTGGCCTCAGGCACGTCAGTCTCCCACCTCCATCCCTTCCTCTGTTGTGTTGGACTCATTTCCAGACATGTGACCTTGGTCTCTAACTCTCTGAGCCTCTGTTTCCTCATCTGTACAAATATCTGTATAAAATAACCGATTCTGCCCCCTACAATGGAGGGGAGGCTGACGTGAGGTCCCAGAGGAGAGGTCTGGAGCTGGGCATCACTCGTCCGACTTTGGACAGTTAAGAGCCACACTGCCAGAGAGAAAGGTGACTTTAGAACAGAGATGAGTGTCCCTCTCATTCCAGGTTAGGGGTCCTCAACCCTGGCACTCCTGACATTTGAGGCCAGATAACTCTTTGTCAAGAGAGGCTGTCCTGTAAGATGTTTAGCAGCATCCCTGGGCTCCGCCTGCCAGATGCCAGTTGTGACAACCAAAAATGTCTCCAGACACTGCCCAATGTCCCCTGCGGGGGAGGGATTGCCCATGGTTGAGAACCATTGCTTGAGGTAGACACTATTTAGACTTCTGAAGGGACGCACTATGGTGTCTACTTGGGAGGGAGGCCCACAGCAAGCTCATGGCTGTGACATACTCTCACAGCACAAGCCTGGGTCCTGCCACCATAGAAACAGATAGGCCAGTTTCTCCCCATGGGATATGGTCTCCTTCCACAGGCCCAGGAGTCTGGACGAGGTGAGCAGTGCCTGAACTGGACTCCATGGTTCTCTTGGCAGCGTCGCCAAGGGAAGGGTTAATGGGAGATAGAGCAGCCGGGGTCAGGGTTCTCACCCCAGGTCAGCCAGAGCAGGTCCACTTGGATCTGTCTCAGCACAGTCCTTTCAGTCTCTCCACCTTGAACACTTCTCTTTGGCTTCTGGACACCACATTCTCCTGGTTCTGCCCCGGTTCCCTCTTGCCACGCTGGCCACTCCTGCTCAGCCTCTCACAGGCTCCACCTGGACTGTCCCAGAATCCAGCCCTTGGTCCTCATCTCCATCTAACTCTCTCATTGGGTGGTCCCATCCAGTCCTCCGGCCTCAGAATCAATCCCACCTCTGTTGACCCTGTCCTTTCCTCAGAGCTCCAGACTCGTACATTATCAGCCACTTTGACCTCTCCATCTAGAGGTCAAATAGGCAAAATAAACCTATCTCTTGATTTCCCATGGGAAATCCCTTCCCAGTCTTCCCCTTCTCTCTCACTCATCCATCCATCCATCTTGCAAATGTTCTTAAGCAATTATGGGGCTCAGGCACCCTTTTAGGAGCTGCGGACATGGCACTGACCAAGACA